AGACGCAGCCGCCCGGGCGGCGGGTCCCAGGGCTGAGGGACACGCACGGCCTGTCCGCTCGGCTGGGATGGAGCCGAGGAAGGGGACAGCGCTGCAGGGCAGAAGGGGCGTCCGACCCGGCAGTTGCCCTCGGCGTGAGTTACCAGGCATGGCTGCTTCACGGCGGCCTCTGGCCACGTGGTTGACCTCAACCCTTAACCCTGCAGACCTGGTTCCTGGCGTCACAGAACCCACGTCCTCAGGACGCTGGGAAAACGGCCGACACCCAGGGCGTAGCCTGGGGGAGGGTTTCCCCCTGAGCATTGGACGCTTAACAGGATTTTTATTTTTTGGGGGGGACAGAGTCTCACTCCATTGCCTGGGCTAGGGTGAGTGCCGTGGCGTCAGCCTAGCTCACAGCAACCTCAAACTCCTGGGCTCCAGCGATCCTCCTGCCTCAGCCTCCCGAGTAGCTGGGACTACAGGCATGCGCCACCATGCCCAGCTGATTTTTTCTATATATATTAGTTGGCCAATTAATTTCTTTCTATTTTTAGTAGAGACGGGGTCTCGCTCTTGCTCAGGCTGGTCTCGAACTCCTGACCTCGAGCGATCCTCCCGCCTCGGCCTCCCAGAGTGCCAGGATGACAGGCGTGAGCCACCGCACCTGGCCTTATAGGATTCTTAAAAATTGGCTTTTGTTAAGGCAACAGTGGGGGCCTGAAATAATACAATAAAGAGAGAATCGCCTCCTCACTGCCTTCCTTCCGCAATATTAATCCCAGCCTCTAAAACTCCACGCAGCTATCTGGGGCGGGGGCGTGTGTCATTGCCACTGTTGCCGCAGTAGCTGGGGCTTACTGAGGGCTAACCTGGTGACCTCGTTCCTTCCGCAGAGCCGTGGGGCCTGGGGCTCCCCTCTGCCCTGTCCCTGCACAAGTGCCCTGTCCAGCCCTGCACTAGCACGGGGCTGTGTCGGGGACTGAACCCCGGTCTCCCCTCCCTGATTTCCTACGTGGCCATCAACAAAGAAGCCGAAGTCACGCACGGCCCCCACGTGGCTCTTCCCAATGTAGCGGGGGAGGGGTAGGCCCGTGGGCGGCGGGACGGCAGGCCTGCGGGGTGACTAAGCCCCGGGCTTCTAGCAGGCGGCGACCCTTGAGCTGAGTCTCCGCGGAGAGCAGGCACGGGTCTGCCCGGCTGCGGCGGGGAAGGGGGGCACGCCGGGGTCACGGGACGAGCTGTGGGAACGGCATGTGCAAAGGCAGGCGCTTGGCAGGGCCGCGGGGCCGCCGGCTGACAGGCCGCGTCCGGGGATTCATCTCCCTGGCGGGCATTCCTAAACACAGACGGGCGCCAGATGGCGCGGTGAACTCCCACCGAGTCCCGTCTCCCCGCGTCCCCGTGCTGGGTGCGGGAGTGCATGGCCGGGAGGTGGCCGTCGAGGGCACCCCCTCGCTGGATTTGGAGCAGGGGCTTGCTGAGCCACCCCCGCCCCGTGCCCACAGAGCCCGGTTGGGCGGAGGGCTGCGATCACAGCAGAGGGGTGTCGAAACTGCCCCGGGCCTTGGGAAGCTTGATAGCAAGTCTCCACCTCTAACTAGCCCCGAGACCTCGCAGATGCCAGCCAGCGTCTCCCGGACTCGGTTTTGCTCTCTGCGAAATGGGGCTGCAAACAGCCACCTCCCCTGGCAGAGTCGACACGGACGGGTCTCAGCTCTGGGCGACGCCGCAGACGCCAGGCGCATAGGGCTTGGGTTCTCCGGGCGTGGCTCCTGCCGCTGGCCCCGGGACTCGGAAGCCCTGCCGGGTCCCCTCGGCCCCCGCCGCGGCGTGCCGCTCTGGCGTGCTCTCGTGAGGAATGGGAGCCGATCTCTCGCTTGTGGTTTTACGGGCGCAGTTTTGCAACCTTGGCCAAGGAGAACAGAACCTCCCAGAAGGCGTTTGTGCCGCAGTGCACCCTGGCAGTCCACAGCGGAAGTTTCGTGACCGGTACGCGGCCGGGGCTGACGGTGGAGGAGGGTCCCCGGTGACTGGGGGGCCAAAGAGCGCGGGCCTCGCTCCCCAGGTTCCGAGTGCGAGTTCTCCCAGGACGCCGGGAGGACAGCCGGGGCCTCGGCAGCTGGAAAGCGGCTGGCCGGGCCCCCGGGGTCAGAGGTCAGCTCATGCCATGTGAGTCGAAGGCTCGAGGGCAGACGGAGGCCCGAGGGTGCGGATGGGGGCGTGTTTGGGTGGCACGCCACCGTCATGTAAAGGCTCCTTCATCTCCCGTGGGTGACGCATGGCTGCCTTCCCACTGGCAGAGCCACCGTGTGGCCTGGGAGGCCACCACGCCCGGCGAGACAGAGCAGGGCACGGAGAGCCTTAGCGCAGACTGGGAGGCCCTTCCCCGGCACGGTGGGGGGGCGTTTTCAGTCCCCAGGGAAGCCCCTGCCTGGGGGAAGGCAGGTGGCCTTCAGGGAAGGGCGTGCGTGATGCCTGGGCCTTGAGTGGGGACAGAGAGCTGAGCTCCAGCCCAGAGTTCCTGCCTGCCGTGGGCAGGTTCTATAACTCCACAGGCCTCAGTCTCCCCACCTGTGGAATGGGAGAACCCAAACCTCCGGGTGACCAGGAGGGCAAACGAGAGCGTGGGGACGAGGTGCTCCCATGGCGACGGGCACACGTGTGGTCTTCCCCGGCCCAAGCCCCGCGGACTCGAGGCTTCCCAGCGGGAGCCATTTGTCGGCCTCGGACAGGACAGTGTGTTTGTCTCACTTGGAAAATGTTTGCTTTTTTTTTTTTTTTTTGCAGGGAAGAGTGCTGGCTCTGTTGCCCAGGCTAGACTGAGTGCCGTCGGCGTCAGCTAGCTCACGAGGCAACTCAGACTCCTGGCTCAAGGCGTCCTCCTGGCTCGCTCCCCGAGTGGGCGTGCGCGCGCGGCGCCCGAGCGGCCCACTAAGCATGCGCCAGCCGCACGCGGCCCCGGGCTGGCGTCTTCAGTACGTTGTGTGAACTTTGCACTAGGTTGGGGTCATGCTTAGCATGCCATTCTACAACTGATTTTTTTACACTTGGCCAGGCGCCTCCACCCGCCGATGCTTGCTGGAAGGATGTGTATTTGTGCCGGGACGCCGCGTTACCCTCTGGTAGTAACTATTCCACGCATGACACGCGCCCCGCCCCCCCCGCGCGCGCCGCCCCCCCGGCGCCCGCCCCGCGCGCCGCCCCCGGCGCCGCCCGCCGCCTCCGCCCCCACCCCGCCCCCGCCCCCGCCCCGGCCCCGCGACGCAGTTCAGTGCTGAGTTGTGGCGGCGCCGTATTGCCGCGCGCCGCGCTACCTTACATCGAGAACGGGTTATTAATGCCACCTGGTCTCGAGTAGAGTCACACGAGCATTTATGCTTGCGGCTCCGGGGGTCCGCTTTGCTCAAGCGGTCACGTGATTGCGCTGGGGACGCCAGCGTGTCCACGCTGCCCGTGGGTCCGTGATCCTGCATGTCAGGCGGCTCTGGCGTGCCTTGGGGCTGCGCGGCAGCAGCTGGAGGATGTGCATTATGGCGCTGCTGGCCGCGTGGTGAGCACAGGGCCCGAGGAGTTCTGCGTGCTTGGCCTCGTTCCCAGCGGGGGCGCACGGAGGTCCCCCCCACTTGGCCCCGGGCTCTGCCTTTGGAGGGGCGGCGGGTCTCACCCGCTGGCTACAGAGCAAGCCCTGCCTCTGCGCTCTGCGCCCAGGGTTATTTTTGTCTCCGTCAGGACCCTGGAGAGTTGCCAGGGGCCCGCCGGGAACCGCAGCCTTCCCATGGCTCTCTGGCCACGCCCTGCCCGCTGGTGCTGGTGTCTCTGCTTCCTGGGAAGCCAGTCCTGACCTGGGTCCATGTGCCCCCCTGGGGATGCCCTACTCTGGCTGCCATTTTGCAGTCCCAGCTGCCACAACAGGTACACCCCTGCATGTGCCAGGAGGGTGAAGGATGGGGAGGCTCTCCTTCAAACAACTGAGCCCGGCCGGGCGCGGGGGCTCACGCCTGTCATCCCAGCACTCTGGGAGGCTTAGGTAGGAGGATCGCTCGAGGTCAGGAGTTTGAAACCAGCCTGAGCAAGAGCAAGTCCCCATCTCTACTATAAATAGAAAGAAATTAATTGACCAACTAACATATATAGAAAAAAAAAATTAGCCGGGCATGGTGGCGCATGCCTGTAGTCCCAGCTACTCGGGAGGCTGAGGCAGGAGGATCGCTGGAGCCCAGGAGTTTGAGGTTGCTGTGAGCTAGGCTGACGCCACGGCACTCACTCTAGCCTGGGCAACAAAGCGAGACTCTGTCTCAAAAAGAAAGAGAATAAAAACAAACAACTGAGCCCCTCCAGCCCCGGACCGGCCAGCTTGAGACTCGTGGCCGCCGCCCTCCTCTCTCAGGTCTTTCAGCAAAAGCCACCCCAACGTGGTCACTGCTCGCTAGTTGCCCACGGGAACCACTAACCTGTCGTGGGACAGCCGTGATCAGAGGGGCCTCGTGCAACGACGGGTCCCATGGGGCCTCTCAACCACTTTTGGTAAACTGAGTCTCGCTGCGCAGGGACGAGAAGTTTGCTGTCAACACCGGTGCGTGGCATCCCCTTTGGTGACGTGAGGTGACTTACCAGTCCCTTTCGGGGGCAGGAGGCAAGTCAGTTCGTGCCGGGGATCTACCCGAGTCCCGAATGAGCAAGAAATGCCGACGCGCAGCCAGGAAGCACGGCGACTCCTGCAGGGAGAGCTCGGGTGGAGCCCGGGAGGGACCGTTCCAGCCCGTCCTCTTTGCAGTCCGGACGGCCCGCCCTGCCGGAACCGTTGGCGTGAATCCCGGCTCCACCAGTTCCCGTGCCTGGGCCCTTGGTCGCTTAGCGTCTGCGAGCCTCAGTTTCCACATCTGCGAGACGGGAGCATCCTCCTGCTCCATCCTTGGTGGCCGCTGCGTCACTAACTGGTCTCCTCCCCGCCCGCCCTCTGCTTCCTTCCAGAGCCCCGAGCGCCCAGCCTTGTGTCACAGGAGCCCCGGCCACCGTCACCCCGCCGCGGTCACCCCGCCGCCATCACCCCGCCGTCCCTGCAGGCGAGCAGCCATGAGCCGCGTCCTGGGCTGTGCGGTGCCCCTGGGGCTGGTGCTGCTGGTCTGCGGAGCCCAGGGCTACTTCCTGCCCAACGTCACCCGCCTGGGCGAGCTGCTCGGCCGGTACCAGCGGGCCGAGCCGCACTCCCGCGCACGCAGGGCCATCCCCCGGGAGGACAGGGAGGAGATCCTCATGCTGCACAACAAGCTGCGCGGCCAGGTGCACCCTCCGGCCGCCAACATGGAGTACATGGTGAGTGCGGCCCCCGGCTGCCCCCGGTCAGCGGGTGGTGGCCGGGTGGCAGGGTCCCTGGCTGGGTTGGTGGCGCTCTGCCCAAACGGGGCTTCCCGTGCAAAACCCGCCCCCTTCCCGATTCCTGGGCGTCACCCCTGAGGCTGACCCGAGGTCCCAGATGCAGGGCAGAACCCCTCCCCCACCCATGGAGCAGCGGGCGGGCGTGGTCCTGCCTGCAGACAGCGCCCCGTCTGTCTTGGGGCGGGGGAGGGCGGTGGCAGGTGCGGGAGCCACCGGCTTCGAAGGTAGGACAGAGCTGGGTCTGAGTCCACACACCGGCTGTGTCACCCTGAGTGGGTCGTGGAGCCTCCCTGAGCCTCAGTCTCCCCGCCTGGAAGCTGGAAGGCAGTGGCTTTCCCGGAGCCGCTGGGAGGACAGAGAGCCCCCTGGGTGCTGGGCACGGGGGAGAGGCCCCAGGAACACCCTGCAGCCTCCGCTACGGGTCTCACCGGTGCCCTCGGGGAGCCAGCCTGCCACTCGGGGTAACGTGTGATATTGCGTCCCTGGCCCGGGCACAGGGGCAGATCATTGCGGCGGCCGGCAGGTAACCACGCTCGTGGCGAGACGCCCGCTTCCGCGCCCTGGTTCTGGACCGGCCGGCCGTGGGGCCCTGGGCAGATGACGATGCTCCTCTGAGCCTTGACTTTCCTGGCTGCGAAACGGGGAGAAGAGGTCTCCTTCCAAGGGCCGCTGTTGCGTTGCAGTGAAAGGACCCGGGGGAGTCCAGGCCTGGCGGCCCCGGTGCACAGTGCTGGCCTCCGAGACGGCGCACGGGACCCCGCAGACCTTCCGTGCCGTGTGCAGTGTGCCGTGGCGGGGTCGTTCAGCGTGGCCTCTCCCGTCTCACAGACACGGAGGCCAAGAGACACGGGACACGGCCCTGGAGCCGGCGCCCCGACCCCGTGCAGACCTGCCACTTCCCACTCGCTACCGTGGGAACCCAGCAACGGGGCGCATGGGCCGGGGAGCCCGACCCCCTCCCCGGCCCTGACCTTCCCGTTTCTCCCGCAGACCTGGGACGAGGAGCTGGAGAGGTCGGCGGCGGCCTGGGCCCAGGAGTGCGTCTGGGAGCACGGGCCCGCCCGCCTGCTGGTGTCCATCGGGCAGAACCTGGCCGTCCACTGGGGCAGGTGAGCACCGCCCCCGCCCGCCGCGCCCCTGCTCGTGCTCTGGCCGCCACTGCCGGCCCCTGCTGTGTGCCGGGCCTGGGGCTAGTGCCATTTTCAACATCAGCCCCCAGGGAGAGGGAGAAGGGTAGGGTGAGGGGGACAGACAGAACACCCATCCCCACTGGCATGTGGAGAAACCAAGGCACGGCGCCCAGGGACACTTCTGAGTAATTGACAAAATATATGGCGACGGGGTGGCTGACCCGGACGCTGATGATTGGATCGGGGTTCCCAGAATTGGGTTTTTTAAATTTCTTTAATTTTTATTTTTTTGAGACAGAGTCTCACTTTGTTGCCCAGGCTAGAGTGAGTGCTGTGGCATCAGCCTCACTCACAGCAACCTCAGACTCCTGGGATCAAGCGATCCTCCTGCCTCAGCCTCCCGAGTAGCTGGGACTACAGGCATGCGCCACCATGCCCGGCTCATTTTTCCTATATGTATCTTAGTGGCCAATTAATTTCTTTCTATTTATAGTGGAGACGGGGTCTTGCTCTTGCTCAGGCTGGTCTCGAACTCCTGACCTCGAGCAATCCACCCGCCTCGGCCTCCCAGAGTGCTAGGATGACAGGCGTGAGCCACCGCGCCCGGCCACACAGAGTTTGGGTTTTCCATTCCCTCTCCGTAGAAGGTTCTGGAGCCCAGTTGCTGCTGCCAGGCAGGACGTGGTGGGTGAGCCGGAGGAGATGCCGTCTGCAGTGGGTTAGGGCCTTGCTCTCACTCCCAGCCGAGACACCGCGTGGCCAGGGGCAGCCACGGTGTCCTTTGGGTCCTCGAGTTTTCAGGACGAACGGGGGCAGGTGTCTCGGTGGGCCACAGGTAGGACTTCACCGATGCAAAGTGACACTGTGGTTTTTCCTGTGGTTGCTTTTGCTTTTTATGAAAACAGTTGCACCACAACATTAAAAGAAAATGTCTAAATGGAGCAAAACCGACGAATTCCACCAGCCTTTTCATTTTTCTGGGCTTCTTTGTAGCATTTGGCCAGAGGCCGACATATTTCCACGCAGTTGTAACCGTGGCCCGGGCAGCTCGGAAATCTTTCCTTTCCTTTACGATGATATGAGAAAATGCTCTGCCATACGGTTGTCACTGTTACTGTCCTGTGCAGGCAGTGGGCGCCCACACCTGGGTCCCTTCCGCCCTGCAGCTTGGTTTTTTTTTTTTTTTGAGCACGAGTCTGCCTTTGCCCACCTGGGCCTAGATGCCGTGGCGCTCAGCCGTAGCCTCACAGCAACCTCCCACTCCTGGCTCAAGCGATCCTCCTGCTCAGCCTCTCCGAGTGGCCCTGGACTATCAGGTCTTGTGCCACCATGCCCTGCTAATTTTTCTATATTTTTAGTTGCCAGCTCAGTGTTTTTTCTATTTTACGTAGAAAATACTGTCCCCTCTTGCTCCAGGCTGGTTTTCACACTCCGACCTTAGCGAGTCCATCCCCGCCCTTCCGGCCTCCCAGAGTGCCAGGATGACAGGCGTGAGTGCAGCTTGGGTTTTGTGCCTTGCTTTCTGCCGTAGCTCGGCGGGCTCATCTCAGTCGGCGACTGCAGGGTAGTATGGTTGGGTCAAAGGTCACAGAGACTTTTCCCACCTTCTCATGCGATTTTGCTAACTCGCTCTCCAAAACAGCCTCCTCCCTCTGCACGCCCCAGGGGCGCCCGAGGCCTCATTTCCCCAGAACTGCCCCAGCGCCGGTGACCCTGAGTCTGGGGAGACCGTGGGGGACAGCTTCCTCCTGCCCCCTGGCCCCCACCGAGCGCACGCCTTTCCCCAGGCCGGCCGCAGGAAGGGAGGCCGCTGACCACGCCACTCGCGCTGGGTCCAAGCCGTAATTGTTACAAGACCTCTAACTGCCTCGCCGACCGCAGCGCCTTGCAGACGGCCGCTGCCCTGCGAGTTTGCTCTTTCCTGAAACCACTCTGCTTGCTCTAACTGGAGACCGTGGATTTGTGTTCCGTTTGTTTTCTTTCCTGGCTTAAAGAAAACACAATGGGGCCGGGCGCGGTGGCTCCTGCCTGTGATCCCAGCACTTTGGGGAGCCCGAGACGGGAGGATCGCTTGGGGCCAGGAGTTTGAGACCAGCCTGGGCAACATAGTGAGACCCCGTCTCTACGGAAAAATAGAAAAATTAGCCAACGCCTGTAGTCCCAGCTACTCGGGAGGCTGAGGCAGGAGGATTGCTTGAGCCCAGGTGAGCTATGATGACGCCTCTGTACTCCAGCCCAGGCAATCCCGAGAGACTCTGACTCAATTAAAAAAAAAATCCCCACAAAACCACAATGGTGTCAATCTGGCAGCCGGAGCTGAGGCGAGGGGCCGTGGCCACCAAGCCGTGACCTCACGGAGGATGTCCAGCTGGCGGCTCCCCCAGGAGCTGTCAGTGGTGCTGGGGACCCCTCACTGCAGGGGTGAGGCGGGGGGGGGGGCGAGGTAGGAGCTGCAGGTGATAAAATCCTCAATAAAAAGTTTTTGGAAGCGTTTGCCTACCGGGCTGCGGAGCTCTGCACACCCGGAGGCTCCTCTTGAATGGGATTCTGCTGCGTGCCTGGGTCCTGGGTCCCCCAGCAGCTAAGGAATGAAGCCAGTCACCATGACACAGAGACACGAGGCTGGAGGCTCCTCTCTGGGAGGTGACAGGGACCCCCTCTTCTCTGGCCCCCATCTTCCAACTTTCAGACTGTCCCCTGCCACAGCGGTGTCCTCTCTGCGTATCACCCCTTCAATTTTCTTTTCTTTCTCTCTCTTCCCCTCCCCTCTTCTCTTCTCTTTCTTGACAGACTCTCGCTCTGTTGCCCAGGCTAGAGTGAGTGCCGTGGCATCAGCCTCGCTCACAGCAACCTCCAACTCCTGGGCTCCAGCGATCCTCCTGCCTCAGCCTCCCGAGTAGCTGGGACTACAGGCATGCGCCGCCACGCCCAGCTAATTTTTTCTATATATTTTTAGTTGTCCAATTAATTTCTGTCTATTTTTAGTAGAGACGGGGGTCTCACTCTTGCTCAGGCTGGTCTCCAACTCCTGACCTTGAGCCATCCTCCTGCCTCGGCCTCCCAGAGTGCAAGGATGACAGGCGTGAGCCACCTTGCCTGGCCTTACCCCTTCAATTCTCTCATTAACGTTTCTCTCTACATCGACTTTAAGTGCACTTTAAGTCTCGAGTTTCATCTTGAGCAATAATATCTGGGAAATACGGGGTTCCCCGGGCTGCATAGATTTCCCCAGTGCACAGGAAAATAAATGCTCAGTTGACATAAGGAAGGGCTCACTGGGAGCCAGGTGAGAGCTCCGCGCACACACGTGGCGTGCGGGCCACCTTTCTGGCTTCAAGCACAGCTCCCAGGTGCCGGGTAGCTTGGGGGCTGTTGCCCGCCCCGCCCCCGCCCCCGCCCGCTCTGTGTCCGCCGGGGCGCGTGGCGCGTGGGCGGCCGGGCCGTGACGAGCCGTCTCTGCCCGCAGGTACCGCTCTCCCGGCTTCCACGTGCAGTCCTGGTACGACGAGGTGAAGGACTACACCTACCCGTACCCCCACGAGTGCAACCCCTGGTGTCCGGAGAGGTGCTCGGGGGCCATGTGCACGCACTACACGCAGGTAGCTCGGCGGCGCCCACAGCCTGGGCCCCGCGCCCCGCACCCCGCCCTTCATCTCTCCCCTCCCCCGCCCCGGGACCCCGCCAACTCCATAAAACCTTCGTGTTTCCCCTTCATCCGGCGCTGCTCCAAGCACAGCTGGTGGAGCAAGCTGTCTGTTGCCGGTTCACGGCAAGGTCAGAAACCGAGAGTAAGCTCTAGAAACTTCTACGGCGATTTTACTTACCTGGGGCATTTTCACCGTGCGTGTGGGTTTTTGGTAGGTAGGTTGGTTGGGTTTTTTTAGAGAAATGCCCGTATCTTCGACGCATTAGCAGGGAAACGCCTGCTTCAACCTTCCAACACACAACCCTGTAGTGCCGGCACCTGGCAGATCCAGGCCAGATTAAGCTGCCCCGGTGTGACTTGTCCCGCCAGCTGTGACACACCGATGCTGTCTTTTCAGATAGTTTGGGCCACCACCAACAAAGTCGGCTGTGCCGTGAACACCTGCCCGAGGATGAACGTCTGGGGAGAAGTCTGGGAGAACGCCGTCTACCTCGTCTGCAATTACTCTCCAAAGTAAGCACGAGCCCGCACGGCCGGAGGTCTTTTCGTGACCACACAGAATAGGGGGGCTAGCGTGTGTTGCGTCTGGGTTAGCTTGATAGCTCAGCAGCGTCAACGAGAACTCAGGCTCTTCCTGTCTTCCCGCTGTGCCATCTTCTCCTCGTGGCGCCAAGACGGCTGCAGAGCACCGGCATCACATCTTCCCAAGCAAAGGGAAGGAGAATGGTAAAAGGGCTCTCTCCTGAGGCCTTTCTCACCCCTGGCACACACTTTCTCCTTCTGTCATTGGCCAGAACTAAACTGACCACAGACAAGGGGGCAAGATCGCCCCCAGTTGGCTTTGCAAGTCGTCCCCTGGGACCGCCTGCGCACAGTCAGAAGCGGGAAGAGCTGTTGGCCGGGCAACCGGCGCACGGTCTGCCGCAGTGGTGTCACCAGTGGTTTTTTTTCTCTGAAAACGGGCAAAGGACAGCAGCCTAGAAAGCACTTGTTCACACCACACCTAGACTTGCTTCCGTCTTCCTGCGGGAGCAGCCCTCGTGGCTCCCGGTCTCCATCGCGCCCTCCAGCCCTTCCCTCCCGCACCTCCATCGCTCACCGGCACACCGTGCTGACTCCCGGCTTGCGCGGTTCACGGCCTGCAGTCGCACGCCGGCCCCAGCTACCAACGGCCTCGCCGCGGCCTGCACCTGGGGGTCCGGCCAGACAAAACGGGAGCGACCTCTTTTATTTGGTGTGGGCGGTGGCGGAGAGGGGGTGGGACGACGGGGGAGGGCCGAGGTTTGGAGGGAAGTAGAGGCACTGCAGACGCCGCCCGGCCCACCCCCGCTGGCACCGACCAGCAGCCCTCAGGGATAGGAGGGGGGCCGCGGACGGGAGGGGGGCCGCGGACAGGAGGGGGGCTGCGGACGGGAGGGGGTCTCGGACAGGAGCTGGGTCGCAGATAGGAGCTGGCCATGTCCTCTGGGGGAGTGCCTCGGGCGCCCTCCCAGGTGGTGGGGTCCTGGCAGGGGCAGCGGGCGGGAGTGAGGAATGCTTTGACTGGGCTCTGTATATAAACGCACACACGGGCAGATCCCGTGGGAAGTGGAGCCCTGCCTCTCTAGAGCGGCCGGCCTCTTGAAAAGGCAACGGCGTGCGCAGGGTGAACCGTTAACCCGCGGATCTTAAGCGTGCAGGTCGGCGCGTTCGCACCCGCTAGTCTGCCAGGGCTGCCAAAACGAAGCCCACAGACCGGGCGGCTGGAACAACAGCTCTGGAGGCCGGATCTGGAGGCCGGAAGTCCTCCGGTCACGGTCCGGCAGGGCTGGGCTCCGGTGGGGGCTCTCTCCCTGGCTTGTGGACGGCCACCGTCTCACCCTGTCCCCGTGTGGCAGTGAGAGATAAGGACACTAGTCCTATCGGATCAGAACCCCACTATTTTTATTATTTTTATTATTTTTTTTTGAGACAGAGTCTCACTCTGTTGCCCAGGCTAGAGTGAGTGCCGTGGCGTCAGCCTTAGTCACAGCAACCTCAGACTCCTGGGCTCAAGCGGACCTCCTGCCTCAGCCTCCCGAGTAGCTGTGCATACAGGCATGTGCCACCATGCCCGGCTAATTTTTTCTATATATATTAGTTGGCAATTAGTTTCTTTCTATTTATAGTAGAGAAGGGATCTCGCTCTTGCTCAGGCTGGTTTTGAACTCCTGAGTTTGAGCAATCCTCCCGCCTCGGCCTCCCAGAGTGCTGGGATTACAGGTGTGAGCCCCCGCGCCCGGCCCAGAACCCCACTATTGACCTCACTTAACCCTAATCAGCTCCATTGAGGCTGGGTCTCCAGCTCTGCAGCCACGCTGGGGCCGGGGCTCCAGCGTGTGAATTTGGGGAGGCGACACCTACTCAGGCCATGGTCACAGGGACACGCGCAGCGCGTCTGCCGTCCACTTCTAGACGAAGGATGTTCCAGAGCCCCGGAAGGCTCCCTGGCGTCCCCCAGAGGGGCCCTGTCCGAACCTCTTTCCCCACGGCTCAGTCGTGTCTAGTTCGGAGCCTCAGCCGAGGGGGCCGCGTGTCCCTTACTGCGCGTCTCCATGCAGCCCCCGTCTTTTGCTCAGTTTCCACACGTATGAGACTCACCCGTGATGTGCGCGTTCACGGCCCTTCCCACCGTCGCTGCCCGAGGTTCTGCGCTGCCCACGCCTCTCTCTCTGGAAGGGAGAGTAGAGCCCCGGGCTGCGCGACTGCGCCCCCAACCATGGCGGGACAGTGGCGTGTCCAAGAGGAAACGTGGAGCCCCGATACGGGGACAGCCGGCTCGGGAGCAGGACGGGCCTCGGATCTTGTTATTGGCTGAACGAACGATGCTGGAGTACGGGAAAGAAGTTTCTAGAATGAATCACAGAGACGGGTCCTCAGTTGCTCACGGCTCCAGCTTGCGCAGCGGCAGGCCAGGCGCTGTGGGCGGTGGGGAGAGGGGCTGGGCTTCTGCTACCCACCTGCCCCCTGCCCTGGGGACGCCAGAGGGAGGCGGGGGTGCACCTGACCCTTGACCCAGCCCCTGTGCAGAGCGAGGCAGGCCTGGGCCCCACAGCCTGGGTTCAAATCCCAGCCCCACCACTGGCTCCCTGTGTGACCTTGCACAAGTGGCTTCACCTCTCTGTGCCTCGGCCTCCTCTCGCAGGGACTGGATGGCAGCCTGCTCTCCCTCCCGGGGAGCGGGAGGATGGATGGGAGCACAGTGGGGCGCCGAGACCTGGGCCGGGCTGTCTCTGAACGAGCTGACTGTGCCCATTGGAGAAGTGGCTTAAAGGGGGATCCTTTTTCCGAGCAGAGGTGACCGGGTGGTGGGGTGCGGGCCGTGCGGGGGGCTGGCGGGAGACGGCTGACGGTGCCGGGTGGGGGAGGGCACCTCACAGCTGCCCGCTGCAGGGTTGTGGGGGTTCTGGAGCTGTGTAGGCCCCGCGTGCGCAGACGGGCCCAGGACTTGCCGCCCTGCACGGCCTGCTCCTCCCGAGACCCGTGGCGGCCCGAGCGGGCGGGAAGAGGCCGGCGCCGAGGCTCTGGGCGCCCCTCCTGACCGGGTGTTTGGTCTGTCCCCAGGGGCAACTGGATCGGAGAGGCCCCCTACAAGAACGGCCGGCCCTGTTCCCAGTGCCCGCCCAGCTACGGAGGCGGCTGCAGGAACAACCTGTGCTACCGAGGTAGGAGAGCGTCCGCGTCCCCCTCCCCGCCCTCTGGGGACCCCTGGGCACATCCGTCCCCCCCCAGACCCCCCCACCCCGCTGCTGCCCCGGGCCGTCTGCGGGCCCCTGGTTTTGCCTTGTCCCCCTGCGTTTGGTTTTCGGCCCACCTGGGATGTTCCCACTTTCTCTGCCGCTACAAAGAACAAGTGTTTTTGTGCCCAAAGCGTCTCCCATGTGTTGTGCTGTTTCCTCGTGTCCGAGGAGGCGTGTCGCATGCAGGAGGGGCCGAGGGGCCGGCCATGCTCTCGTGGTCCTGATTGGTCTTGTTCAGGGCTCCATCGCAGCCTTGCGGGTGACTAAGCCGGTTTGCAGGGGGCTGGGTGGGCGGAAGGGAGCAGCCCCCGAGCCGGGGCCCCGGGGTGAGGAGCGGGCGGGCCACAGTGGGGCGCCCGGACCCTCCCCGGCCGGCTGTTCACAGCTGACTCTGCCCACTTTTTTGGGGATGGGGGCTTCTGGAGGGGGCATGAGGACAGAACGATCTGGACAGGAAGGGAGGGGATGGCTGTGTCTGCAAAGTCAGCTCGGACACGCCAGCTCGTGCCTGGTCCCCTGGGTCGTGCATCACATGCAGTGGCTCTGGTATCACCTCCTTCTCTGGGGAGCCTTCCTGGATTTCACGGGCAGCGCACCTGCCCCGTGCTCATGACCACCCAAGCTCCTCGTGAGCCTTGGCTGCCCCGTTGTCTCGAAGGCCAGCTCACCCCAGGGCCCCCGGGGACACGTGGCAGGGTGTCCCGCTTGCTGTCCGAGCACAGACACCCCCAAACTTCCAGAGCCGTTTCCAAAGCACAGAGACACACACTTAGGTGCCAGTGGACCCACTTCCTGAAGCCCTGGGTACCTGTTCCTTTACTTTTGGTGGAAAATGCCCAGCGTCGTTGGGCAGCTGTCCCAGTGTCCTGAGCTAGCCATGCGGAAGGCCCGCTCTGGAGCGGCTTATCTGCGTAAGCTCCTTAATGGCGCGTACGGCGGGAGCCTGGCGGGGTCTCGACCTCTGATGGAGACGGCGCGGGGATAAGGGTATTAAAGAAAAAAAAAAAAGAGGTTTTCTTTCTTAATACCCCCCAGGCCCTCCCCGTGGGGTGATAAAAGGCGTGGCTTGGTCGTCGCAGGGACGGCTTTGCCCTCCACTTCGGCTGCGCGGAGCCGGGAAGGTCGCTTAGTCTCGCTGAGCCTCAGTTTCCTTGTCTGTGAAATGGGCCCGATCGAGCCTCCCAAGGCCACAGACGTCGATCTGAGAAGGTGCCAGGGAGGGCCCAGTCGACGCCTGGCCCGTGTTCAGCAAGCGTCAGCTCCCAGCTTTGTCACCGTTTTTTTTTTTTTTTGAGACAGAGTCTCACTTTGTGCGCCAGGCTAGAGTGCTGTGCGCGTAGCCTAGCTTCACAGCAACCTCACACTCCCTGGGCCCTCGCGAGCCATCCCTCCGCTGCCTCAGGCCTCCCCCGAAGTAGCTGGGGACAACAGGCATGAACCACCATGCCCGGCTGCATTTTTTTTTGGTATATATATTTTTAGTTGGTCAACTTAATTCTCCTTATTTTTGGATAGAGAATGCCGGTTCTCGCTCAGGCGGCCTGGTTTCGAACTGCCTGACTGGAGCTGCGATCTCACGCACATTGGCCTCCCAGAGTGCTAGGGATTACCGGCCGTCGGACCCACCGCGCACGCACCGTCAGCGTTTTAGAAGCAAGCAAGGTGGCACCCGCCAGCGTGCGTCCCAGTCGAAGCTCTGGCCCTCGAGGCCCCCGCGCCGGAGTGGGGGGCGTGCGGGGCACCCTGGCCGTGACCTCGGCTGGGGGATGCCTCCCAGGTCCCGCAGCTCCCGCGGGCGTAGTTATGGGACGCCGCTCAGCCCCGGCCTGTCTCCTGGGCAGGAGCTGCACTCTCCGGCGTGTCGTCCGCAGGGACAGGCCGCCTGCCCGTGCGTTCTTAACTAGGGAGGCCCTCGCGGCGCGCGACGCTTCAGCACGGTGTGTTGCGGCTAATAAAGCGCTGCGATTATGACGGGCGAACGTCCCACGGGCCAGTGGAAGAACACCCGGCTCATGCCGCAGCCAGCTCGGGCTCTCCGCAAAGGGCAAACCTGAATGGCCTCATTGATGGGCGGGGTGGACGCGTGTCCGGCGGCCTTTGCAGACCCGGCGTCTTCCTGAAGTTCCCACCTATAGCTCTTGCTACCAAGGGTGCTTTCAGAGTCTCCCCTCCTGAATGTCTTTCGTGTTTGTTGCTGGACATTTTTTTTTCCTTTAGGGGACAGAATTCTCTGGGGGCTTTGGTCATTCATTCATTCATTCAGTGAATTTTGTTGAGCAACTACTATGTGCCGGGTGTCAGGTGTGCAGGGGGGTGTGCAGCAGGCTGGCCCCTGGTCTCCAGGAGCGTAAGGCGTGTGGCCCAGGCAGACCGTGGTGAGAGGACAGCCGCCCTGCCGGGAGCACTGCGTGGTGACCCCGGAGCACGTATAGGAGTCATTGCTCTTGAGAAGTGAAAATAAGATTTAGGGGTCGATGAACGCCTAACGAAACTTGGATTTTGTTTTATTTATTTATTTATTTTTTGAGACACTCTCACTCTGTTGCCCAGGCTAGGGTGCCGTGGCGTCAGCCTAGCTCGCAGCAACCTCCAACTCCTGGGCTCAAGCGATCCTCCTGCCTCAGCCTCCCGAGTAGCTGGGACTGCAGGCGTGCGCCACCACGCCTGGCTAATTTTTTCTGTCTATTTTTAGTAGAGACGCGGGTCTCACTCTCGCTTAGGTTGGTCTTGAACTCCTGACCTCGACCAATCCTCCCGCCTCGGCCTCCCAGAGTGCCAGGATGACAGGCGTGAGCCACCACGCCCGGCCTAAACTTGGATTTTAATCCAAAACCACACAGAGGCCTGCAAGGGGCTCCCTCCCTTCTCCTTGGAATGGTTCTCGCCTGAACGCTGCCATACTCCGTTTTCCTTTGAGCAGCGTGGAAGGCGGGCCGTCCGCGGGGCAGGGGGTGGGGGGCGTGCTGTGAATACAGGGGCAGGGGTAGACGCCCAGGGTTCCTCTTTGATGCGGCCACTCAGCCAGCGAAGATGGCAGCGGGTGTCTTTGCCGTGGCTGGAGTTTACACTCGGTGCCCCGGGGGACGGGCTGCAGACCCCGGTGGGCGGCTCCTCGCTGTCTTTCCCGATGGAAACTGGAAGACTCTAGGCGAACTGACGTTTAATACGCGCAACTTGTGGGGTTAGTTAAAACGTCTCAAAGCGTCAGCGCCGTGGTCACGGTTGGGGAGATGATGACACGCGGTGGCCCTGGGTGGGAGAACGGCGGGCTCCGGGCGGCGGGCTGCGTTTTTGTCTTGAGCCAGGAGCTGGGTCGCTGGCTGTGTCTCCGTGGTGACTCCAACATTGCTGGAGAAGACACTCCAGTGCGGAGAGAGCCAGCGAGCTGGCCGGGGATGGGGTGGGAGTTGGGCTGGGGGTGGTGGGGGGGTGGTGTCCTAACTCGCGGTGGGACGGAAGGGACCGGAGCGTGCCGGCGGTGAGGGGCGGTGGCTCCCGAGAGCATCCCACCGCCTTTTGTGCCCCTGCTGGTGCACGGTGAGGAAGACCCGGTCGCTGACGAAAACCAGGGGGCAGGGGGCCCACCGCGGAGACGGCTTCGGCTTCGGGCCGGTGCTGCTTCCTCGGGCGGCTGGGTGCGTGGAGGAGGGGCGAGAACCCGCCTGGATAAGCCAGGTGTGGGCGCCAGGGCCTGCCAACCCCAGCCGCCCCCGTCGTCGTCTGTCGGGTCCAAAGCAAACAGCGCGGGCAGAGTTCTGATCCGGCCCGGCCCGGCCGGTAGAATTCCACCTGGCCAGGTCTGCTCTGAACTGTAACTTTCTCTTTGCGGTTTGAAATGATTCTTTGTGAAACCAAACCTCAAGCAAGCTCGGTTTTCAGATTGCTTTTTCTCCCCCCAAAGTGCATTTTTGTTGAAACTCTCGTGTGCTATTTTTTTTCCCTCCCTCGCCGCTGTTAAGAAGAGACCTACCACCAAAAACCCGAGACGGACGAGATGAACGAGGTGGAAGTCTCTCCCGTCCCCGAAGAAAAACACGTCTGGGTCCAGCCCAGGGTGTCCAGACCCGCCAAGCCCAAGAAAGCCCCGGCGGTCAGCTACATGAGTGAGTCGGGCACCCTCTGCCCCGTCCTCCCCTCTGGGCCACCCCGGGGTGGGGGGTGGCAGGGGGGCTGGGGGGTTGAAAGGCCTCCAGGGTGACAAACAGCAGGGGGACAGGGCAAGGCAAGGCTTGCAAACGCACGGCCACGAGACGCTTTTTAAAAATGATACTTTTAAGCCTTTTCAAAAACAAGCATTACAGGAGTTGCACTTGGGTGGCATTTTTCCCCTCTCCAGGCAGGTATTTTAAGGTTAGACCTTCCCTCGTCCTTTCGAGGGGGACCTGAGCTGAGACTGGGTTCCTCGGGGGAGCGAGGGCCTCTCTAGGGGAGGACTCGGGGCGTGCAGCGTGGAGGCTGGCTGGCCTGTCGCTCGACTCTCTGAGACTCAGTTTGCTCATCCACGTAGTGGGGCAGTAACACCTACGCCAGGGGCGCTGTGAGCGTCACGTGCAGCGCTGTGGTCACCTGGTGTCCGCTGAGGTCTCCTGTCCTCCGAGATCCGGACATCCGGGAGATCCCTTGTCACGGCTGCCTTCACTGAGGCTGGGGGCCGTGGAGGGGCATTTCTTGCAGGGACAGCAGCAGGCCCGGCCGGACGCCCCTGCTTCTCCCTCCATGCCCCCCCAGCACCGAATGCTGGAAAACTGGACTCCCCTTGAGGAGAGCCCCGGCTCACGCTCTCCCCTCTCCCCTGCTCTGACCCCCTCTCCCCTCCTGCACCAGCCTGCTGTCCTCTGGGGCCTCCAGATGACTTCCTCCCCGGCGGGCAACCATGCTGTGGCTTCCTCTGACCAGCACACATGCGGACGCCTTTGTCCGGCAGTCCCGAATGGTGCCCTTGTTTCTTTCGATAACATGCAATCATAGTGTCCGTCCTCTTCAAAACCGTGACGCGACTCCAAGACGCCGACACGGCCCTGTAAAATAGCGACGCAGGGGAGCTTGCCAGACGTCCTCTGGGCTGTGGGGCAGACGGCGTGGCGAGCGTGGCTGGGTCCCCAGCCCGCAGGCCCGGGTACGGTGTCCTGCCCTCCGGAGCCCTATGGGGCCGCGGCCACGTTCACCTTCTCACTTGATGCTCACAGTCAGCCTTGGAGAGGCGGGTGCCGCGACCACGCCCAGTGTTCTCGGAGCGGAATTCCATGAGTGGAATGGAATCCATCGTGGATTGGAATTCCATGGAATGGAACTGAAGGAAGTGGAACCTCATTTCCACACCTTTAAAGAGGGGAAGTCACTTGTCCAAGGTCATGCTGCTAGTATAGACTGAGGGTCTGGGATTCGAGCCTCCCAACTAGAGCTGCCGCCACTAGGCATTGCTCTTGCTCTTGCTATGGCACGGATTATACAGAATGTGCCAGAATGTCCCTGGGAGTGGGGGGAGGGGTCCTCTTCTTTTTTTTTTTTTCTATTCCCTTTTTCTCATTAGATTTTACCAAGAAAGGGAGGGGTCTTCTAACCCTCCCACCTTCCCGAGGTGATGTGTGTTTCCGACTTCCTCTCCTAGCCCAGGTCGTCAGATGCGACACCAAGATGAAGGACAAGTGCAAAGGGTCCACCTGCAACAGGTAAGGCCCGGCCGGTCCCTGTCCTGCGCCGCTGAACCGGCCGAGGTGGCGGGTCACGTCCCGACCTCGGGGCTGACTGCCACCCACACCGGGCTGGGAGGAAGCTCACGGGAAGATGGTGTTCACTGTTTTCAGCACAAAAAGGGGGGACCAGGTTGAGCCAGGAGCTAACTCAGTTAGGGTGGCCGGGACACCCCCGAGTCCCCCCCCCCCGACTGCTGCCACTTCTGCAGAGCTTGCCGCACAAAGACGGCCATCTGTGTCCACCAGACCGCCTGTTCTCAAGCTGGCACTGCTGCGTTGGGGGCGGGTCATTCTTTCCGGTGGGGGCTGTCCTGTGCACTGCGGGGGTGTAGCGGCGTCCCTGGCTTTGACTCCCCAGACGCCAGCAGCACTGCCCCCAGTCGTGCCACCAGAAATGTCTCCAGATGTCCCTTGAGGGGTAGCATCACCTGTAGTGGAGAACCACTAACCTAGAGCGTCGACCCAAGCTCCGGGTCCCCTCCCCCCACCCATATATGTTCCAGTAAGTATGTTGTCCCCGTGGGCACGGGGCCCACACCCGCAGACCACTGGGAAGGGTTTTCTGAGCGAGCGGCGAACAGAGAATCTCATTATCTTAACCCAGTGGTTCCAACCCCGAGAGTAAACCAGCTGTCCAAAGCAAACAACAGCGGCAGATTGCAGTATTTGCCGATTCCTGTGGTGTGAACACTCCTGT